AGAAAAGGGATAAAAATACACCCAACTGTGCACCCATGGGGAGAGAAAAGGGACCCTGCTCCCCTTTGAGCCACAGAGAGAGAACAGGGGTAATAATACACCCAATTCTGCACCACAGAGTGAGAAAAGGGGTGATGTTCCCCTTCTGCACCCACGGGGAGAGAAAAGGGGACCCTGCTCCCAAAGGGATAAAAATACACCCCACTCTGCACCCAGGGGGTCAGAAAAGGGGACCCTGCTCCCCCCTCTGCACCCAGGGGGTGAGAAATGGAGTGATGATCCCCCTCTGCACCCACAGGGTGAGAAAAGAGGACAATGCACCCACTCTGCACCCATGGGGAGAGAAAAGGGTACCCTGCTCCCCTTTGAGCCACAGAGAGAGAAAAGGGGTAATAATGCACCCAATTCTGCACCCACAGGGTGAGAAAAGGGACCCTGCACCCATGGGGTGAGAAAAGGGGACCCTGCTCCCCCCTCTGCACTCATGGGGTGAGAAATGGAGTGATGATCCCCCTCTTCACCTACAGGGAGAGAAAAGGGACCCTGCACCCATGGGGTGAGAAAAGGGTACCCTGCTCCCCTCTGCACCCACAGGGTGAGAAAAGAGGACAATGCACCCACTCTGCACCCATGGGGAGAGAAAAGGGGGTAAAAATACACCCAAATGTGCACCCACAGGGTGAGAAAAGGGGAAAATGCACCCACGGGGTGAGGAAAGGGTACCCTGCTCCCCACTCTGCACCCATGGGGTCAGAAAAGGGACCCTGCTCCCCCTCTGCACCCACAGGGTGAGAAAAGAGGACAATGCACCCACTCTGCACCCATGGAGAGAGAAAAGGGGTAAAAATACCCCCAACTCTGCACCCATGGGGTGAGAAAAGGGGACCCTGCTACCCTCTGTACCCACAGGGAGAGAAAAGGGATACAAGTACATCCAACTGTGCACCCAAAGGGTGAGAAAAGGGTACCCTGCTCCCCTCTGCACCCACAGGGTGAGAAAAGAGGACAATGCACCCACTCTGCACCCATGGAGAGAGAAAAGGGATAAAAATACCCCCAACCCTGCACCCACGGGGTGAGAAGGGGGACCCTGCTCCTGCTTTACACCCATGGAAGAGAAAAGGGACCCTTCTCCCCCTCTGCACCCCCGGGGGTTCACCCTTTACCCCCCCCACCCCCTCAGGATTTTTCCCGTCGCATCCAAACCGCTCCCACCCCCACCTGCTCTCCTCTCCCTCCAGCAGCGTCCTGTACGTGGCGATCTCGATGTCCAGGGCCAGCTTGACGTTGAGCAGCTCCTGGTAGTCCCTGAGCAGGCAGGCCATCTTGTCCTTGGCCTGCTGCAGGGCCGTCTGCAGGTCCACCAGCTTCTGCCGCGCGTCCTTCAGCGCGCAGTCGCCGCGCTGCTCGGCGTCGCAGATGGCAGTCTGGAGGGCCGAGATCTGGGGGGGAGGGGGGCAGAGAGGGGAGAGGGACAGAGCTCTGGGTCAGGAGGCACCTCCAAGACCCTCTGGTCCCACCCCTGAACGTTTTACGAGGCTCCAAGGGGGCCTCCGACCACGCGACTCGAAAGGTAAAAGAGGGCGCTGGTGGGGGGTGTCGATGGGGATCAGCACGGGGTTGGTGCTGGAACTCCTCATTTCTCAGCTGGAAAGGGTCAGAGAGCCAAGATTTTGGCTGGGTTGGTGGTGATGCCGAGGCATCTCCGCAGGGTTGCTCCTGTAACCCCTCATTTCTCGGCGGGGAATTGTTGGAGAACCCAAATTTCAGCTGGATCGGTGGTGGCCAGGGTGGGATATCAACAAGGACCTCCACGGGGTTGCTCCTCTACCCCTCATTTCTCAACCAGAAAATGCCAGGGAGCCAAGATTTAGGCTGGATTTGGGGTGGCCAAGCAGTTTGGGATGGAAGGGGAGGGACCTGTTGGCTGCCCCCGGTGGGAAACTCGGGAATCAGCGACTCTGTTCCAGCCAAACCTGCCAGCCTCTCATTTACCAGGTGAGAAACGGATCTGCTTTCCTGGGTGTGTGTCTTTGAAGCATTTTTTGTGCTCTTTTGTGTGCATTTTGTGTGCCTTTGAAGCCACAAACTCTCATTCTGCGGGCAGGGGGGGGTCAGTTAGGACGAAACCCTGTCGATGGAGGGGTTTTCCCACCCTCCCACCTCCTCCCCAACCCCCTTTTTTTGTCCCTACCTGCTTCTTGACGTTGTCTGACTCGCACTGCAGCTTCTGGATCATCCTGTTGAGCTCGGCGATCTCGCTCTGGTTGTTCCTCAGGTCGTCACAGAACTTGCCCCGGCTGCTGTGCAGCTCCTCCAGCTGTCCAGGACGGCGGGAAAGTGCCCAAATTGTCCCTTTCCAGGGTCGCCCTTCCCACCCATCATCCCTCCCAGGGGTTCCAGGCACAACCTCGGCCTCAAACCGCCTCAAATGTCGGGTTTGGAGGGAGGTTTTGGGGGGTTGGTTGGTTTCTTCTTTTTTTTTTTGGCCAAGGTTTTCTTCAGGTGACCCTGAGGGGTCCAAGATGTGGCACCAGTGGGGTCCACACCGAGGGGTCCAAGGTGTGACCTCAAGGGGTCTGAGATGTGACCCAGAGGGGGCTCAAGGTGTGACCTCGAGGGGTCCAAGGTGTGACCCTGAGGGGTCTGAGATGTGACACCAGTGGGGTCCACACCGAGGGGTCCAAAGTGTGACACCAATGGGGTCTGAGATGTGACCCTGAGGGGGCTCAAGGTGTGACCCTGAGAGGTCCAAGATGTGACACCAGTGGGGTCCACACTGAGGGGTCCAAGGTGTGACCTCGAGGGGTCCAAGGTGTGACCTCGAGGGGTCTGAGATGTGACCCTGAGGGGTTCAAGGTGTGACCCCAGTGGGTCCAAGGCATGACCCCACAGCTCTGTGTGACCCCAGTGGGTCCAAGACATGACCCCACAGCTCTGTGTGACCCCAAAGGGGTCCAAGGCATGACCCCACAGCTCTGTGTGACCCCAAGGGGGTCCAAAGTGTGACCCCCACAGCTCTGTGTGACCCCAAGGGGGTCCAAAGTGTGACCCCCCAGCTCTGAACCGCAGCGTGGGGGGGGCCAGAGCTGCTTTCTGGCAGGGAGTGGTGTCCCCAAAACTTTGCTAACTCTGTCTGGGGGGGAAGGGGGAGCTCACTCACCCTGGTCTGGTAAAAAGCCTCCACCTCAGCCTTGCTCTTCTGGGCGATCTCCTCGTAGCAGCACTCGACGCTCTTGATGATTCCCTCCATGTCCAGGTCGCGGCTGTTGTCCATTTGCACGATGACGGAGGTGTCGCACAGCTGGCAGTCCAGCTGGGCCCTCTCCTGGGATGGGGGGGGAACCCCGGGCAGGGGGGAGCGTCAGGGCTGGTCCTTGGCACCCCCAGCGCCCCCAGTAACCCCAGTACCCCCAGTAACCCCATCCCTGACACCCCCGGTGCCCCCAGTAACCCCAGTACCCCCAATCCTGGCTCTTGGCACCTCCAGTACCCCCAGTATCCCTATCCCTGACACCCCCAGCACCCCCAGCACCCCCAGCACC